TGGACACTGCCAGGGGAAGGAGGACTGGCATCTAGTTCCCCTGATTCCCAGTTCCCCTGGCACCACCTGGCCCAGCCTGAGTGGGTCTGGGAAGCAGAGAACCCGCCAGGGCAGCGCAGAACCACAGAGCCCAGGTTGTTGGGGGGAAGTAGAGTAAAACGTGCCTCAGATAGTTGTAGCAACTGCAGTGCTCAGGGACAGAGGTTAGTATGGGTGTCAACAGGGCCCTTGTCACCTGGCTCTGCCATCATGTCCACAAGGATGCTGAGAGTCTGTGGCTCTGAGAGTTACTTCCAAGGGTTCAGTGTGGACCAACTAGAGTCTGTCCAGCCTGGTTCAGTGGTCAGGTCCTGACATCCCCCTCCCAGTCCCTGCTCATGGCAGGCATCTCCTCCAGGGGACGACGCTCATCACCAACCTGTCGTCTGTGCTGAAGGATGAGACCGTCTGGGAGAAGCCCCTCCACTTTCACCCTGGACACTTCCTGGATGCCCAGGGCCACTTTGTGAAGCGGGAGGCCTTCATGCCTTTCTCAGCAGGTACCTGTGGGGCCTCCCTGTCCCTCCCTAGGGCTCCTTGGAGGGGTGGAGGCCAGGGACAGGCTGACTGAGCCCGAGTCCCCCTCACAGGCCGCCGTGTGTGTCTCGGGGAGCCCCTGGCCCGCATGGAGCTCTTCCTCTTCTTCACCTGCCTCCTGCAGCGCTTTAGCTTCTCGGTGCCCCCTGGACAAGCCCAGCCCAGCGACTATGGCGTGTTTGGTACCATAGTGACCCCGTCCCCCTACCAACTGTGTGCTAAGTCCCGCTAGAGGAGGTGCAGACCCCAACCCTGCCTCCAGACGGGGCTCTGATGTTCAATAAACCAGTCTTGTCACTGCCACTTTATTCTGAGATGCCCCTGGCTCTGTTGGGTCCTCAGCCACGTGTCTGAAGCCAACCCTCGTCCCTGCTTTTTTTTATCCTGCTACTTTGCTGAATCATTTTTCCTCCCCCCACTTTTTTTTTAAATTTCCCTTTTGTACCAGGGATTGAACCCAGGAGCACTTAGCCACTGCTAGCTGTGGCCGCAGGTCTTCATTTAAAAAATAAAAAAGGGAACGATGTGGAAAGTCGTGACAGAGAATGGGAGAGCAGTGGCTGAGATTGGGGTCTCTGGTGACCTCATGACTGTGGTGAGCCTGATAGTGGGAAAGTTCCCATGCAAGGACACAGGATTCCTAGTTCCTCCCTGCATGAGGAGGCTTTGCGGAGGAGTCTTATCAGCTTTGGCCTTGACCCCAGGTACACAGCTCCTGGGGACAGAGTAACTGTCCTCCTAGACAATCACAGCATCACCAGCACCTCTGCTCCCTGGCCTGTCTGCTTAACAGTAACTTTAAACAATGGGCCCCCTTGAGCGCTCTCCAAAGCTCCTGACATTGCACACTCAACTGTGGAACAGCTGCATAGATGTCTCTAGTTCTGTAACTTTCCGGCGTACAAAGAATAATGCTTGCATAGTCTTTAACCTAAGGAGACATATATAAATAAAGCTTGCTGGCTTAACTCTAGATCTGCTTCTCCTCCTGACCCCAGCTTTATCTTCAAAATCTCCACGTGTGTGAGTCTTTATTTTTCTAATACCCTTTGGGCCCTCATGGAACCTCAAATTTGGCGGGCCTGTGCGAGATTGGGAGGAGGCCCTGCGGTGCTCAGTGTGGGGTTTGCAGGACGGGGCCTGGCCACAAGTGTGGCAGCACCAAGCCTGGTCTGGCTGCACCATCTGCAATGGATAGTGGCACCTGGGCACTCCACCTGGTTGGCCCCATGCTTTGCCTGCAGTGGCCTGCGTGCCTGCCTCCTGCACCTGGCCCAGCTGGCCAGGTATAGGTAGAGCAGGAGGCGGTGGCCAGGGCTCCTGTATCCCACTGTGGCTGTCACCTGTTTGCTTTCTGGGCCCAGGGGGACATGCATTGGCACCTAGAGAGGAGAATGTGAGAATATAACAACGGGATTATATCAAACTGAGAAGCTTCTGCACATCCAAGGAAGCTATCAACAGAGGGAAGACGCAACCTACAAAATGAGAAAGAAAGAAAAACCTTACAACCTACTCATCCGACAAAGGATTGATATCCAGAAATCCAGAATAGGAATGAAAAATCTGATTAAAAATGGATGAATGATGGCTGGGGTGTGGCTCAGTGGTAGATCACTCTACCATTTGGTGGTAGAGCACTCGCAAGGCACTGGGTTTGAGCCTCAGCACCACATAAAAATAAATAAAATAAAGGTATTGTGTCCATATACAACTAAAAAATAAATATTTTTTTTAAAATGAGCAAATGATATGATAGTCCTAAAAAAATCCAAATGGTTCATTAATGTATGGAAAAATGCTCAAAAACTCTAGCTTTCAAGGAAATCAATACCAAAGTGACATATGATCTCAACCCGTCGAAATGTCTGGTATCCAAAATACAAAAGAAATACTGGCAAGGATGTGGAGAAAGGGGAAGTCTCTCACACTATTGGTGGCCACCTAAGTCAGTAGAGCCATTATGGAGAACAGTGTGGTGGGTCCTCAGAAAGCTAACAGTGGGCCTCCAGTGTGGCCCATCAGCATGTTGCAGAGATTCCTGCCTGCTCGGGTTTATTACTGCACGCCCACAGGACAGGATCAACCTAGATGGCTGTCGGTGGGTAGACAATGAGTTACCGTGAGGCTGTCAGTGACTTGCCAGGGTACATTTTCCTGCCCAAGAGGGTATATGCCACCTGAGAAACTAGAGTCTGGAATAATTAGTAAAGAAATAAAAGACAAAGTCAGAAAAATAGTTTTAAATGCAGAGCACTTGCTAGGTCCAGCCTGCACAGGATCTGGAGCTGAACAATTAGAAAATGGTTCTGGTGGTTTTACTGAAGGGGCACATCAGAGGCAGGGATGAGGTTTCGGGGTGGAGTCTTGCTCCATGAGGCCTTGCAGTCAACAGGTTGACTGGCATCTTGGCAGGCTACACCCATCTCAGAGGGGCTGTGTGGCTGCAGCAGGTCACCCCATCTCTGGTGCTGTGAGGGACCTGGCAGAGCTGAGTAGGACTCATGCTTACTTGGGCGATCTGACCAGTGGGATCGCCACTGGAAGTTCCCAAATAGCAGATTTTCTATTCACTGGGCTTCCATGCTGATTTGGTCCACATATAGGCCACGGATGGCTCTTGACAAATGAAAATGTGATAAACAGTGGAGTATTACTCAGCCATAAAAAGAATGGCATATCGAGGCTGGGGCTGTAGCTCAGTGGTAGTATTATAGTTAAAGCATCGTCCTGGGGTTTCATAAACTGACTTCCAGACCACTCACATTTAATTGAATCAAGCCTCTACTGAAGCATACTAGTGGCAACTGACCAGAACATAAAACTTTTCCCCTGATCAGCCCCGAACAATTGCAAGGGCACTCCTTATAAGCCTGAAAACC